TCCAAAATAAAAGCCATGCTTGTGACACGTGCACAAGCATCAAAGAGCTCTGGAGGATTTGCATTTTATTTATTTACTAGCTGTCAGAAAAAAATGAGAAGTTGGATCTAATGTAATGAAATTAGAAACATCTGACTCAAAGCTCGACTTGCTCTGTTGATTTTGATTTTTGGCTAAAGGTCACTTGCAGTATCATTTTCCAAAACAACAGAAAATGTTTTTCCGTTTATACAAACACTGAACTGTTTCTATAAAGAATGCCTGTACTGTAAATAATGTAAATTAACTGTGTTATAAACCAGTTTCACCACACTCACTTCCAGCATTAATTTCTGTGTGACTTTGTAGTTTTGTCACAATGTATGAAGCCTTTAAAAAGTATCATTGGGGGTTAAATTTTACAGAGTCAACATTCACAACCGGAAAAGGAACAAAAAGGAAAAATCGGACATTAAACATCATTAATTGACAAATACCAAACCAGTTTTGGACCACTGTTTAAGCTTTCAGTGATCGTTAACATAACAAATAATTGAAAATCACTGTATAAAATAAAATTTTTCCTTTTTGAACTTAAAACATCTGCAATCAGCTTTGATTTGTTTTTTTTTAACAGCTTTATCTTTGATCAAACATTCTTAGTTGCATAAAATAAGAAAAGTAAGAAAATATCATTTTATCTGAATAATAAGGCAGCATGTGCGTTTTCTTTTGCTCCAATTTTTAGCAGGCTGATACAACACTTGAAGAAAGAGATGGTGATCAAGACAAATGCAGACATACATTACAACTTAAAGCAAATACATGAAATTCAAAGTGATTACCAAGCACGTGATCTGATAAATACAATGAGGTATAAATATTATTATTTATACAGCACAGTCCATAGGAATGATCTGAGCAGTGTTTTTTAACCCTGTTCGCACTCACTGCAGGTTTTAATGCACGAAAAAGACAAAAAACAAAACAGGTGCTCAGTGGCATGAAGACAAATGTGAAGCCAAATGTGTCCCTGAATGGATTAAAGGATTTCTTAATCAACTCTGTAGTGTGTGTACATTGTGATAAACCTCCCAAACACAGGTAGATGTTATCAAGTTTCTACAGCACGTCTTACTTGGATTAGGTTCTATACAGCCACCAGAGTCCACTTTCTTGTTCGATGAGGAACAGGTTCCCCTTTTGGTTTTGCTAGTTTAATGGCAGAGGAAAATCGGACATTAGTTAGGATGCACAATCTGCCACAGAAGGTGTGTTTCAGACACACAGTCTGTTAGAAACAAGCTCCAGACAGCATCTGGATGCATCAGCTGCTGTAACCAAAACGTAAATCAAAACACAGCTGAAGGAATATAAAGTTGCACTGCAGAAAATTGAAGACCACTTTGTGGAAACATAAAGAACAATCTGTCCTTTAATTTTTGGTAAAAAATAATAAGCCGGTAGACCGGAAACCTTTGGGTTGGTATCCCTGTGCTGTTCAAGTATATGCCCTTTAACTTATTTACATTACCACTATGCTCCACATGTTGCACCATTTGATGACTACAGCACAGCCACATAAACATGAAAGGGTTGTTATTGTATAACTGCAAAAGTTATTTTTGGTCCACTCTCTTATAATGAGATAAAGTTTGGGTTGATTTTGATTTATGAGATATTGACGTAAAAGCCTTGAACACAGTTCCCACATTTGTCACCAAGCTGGGAATGTTTGGAGTCATTCAACCAAGGAGTCATATCTTCTCGTTAATTCTGTTTACACGCTGATGAATACTGATACAGTGTCCAAAATATTTGTATATTCTTTTCACATGTCTCTTCAATTATCTCGTGAGTTCCTCACATTTATTTTGCAATTTATCCTTAAAAGCAGCCGACTGGGATCATTGAACAGCTGTTTAATATCAATCAAATGTGGCAGAAATCAAAAACGGGCAGTGGGCTGTGGGCTTTCATAAGAAACTGACCTTTACTAATAATTTGTTTTAGGTAAGCAATAACTTACTTGAAGCAAAGAGTATACCTCATTATACTCCAGGATTTATTTTATTGTTTAAATATCTAAACAGTTTGGATGTAAATCAAAAATAAGATATTTTTTGCCAAGTTTTCCCAAATTCGGCAAGTTTGGTGAAATGCTTTCAGCACACAAGAAAACAATAAACAAATTAAAAAACAAACAAACCACAAAGTGTAAACCTTCGTTGAAAGCAGAATATTATGGCCATATAAACATTGTTATCATTATTGCTTTTTATTTTGGTGTATTATGGGGTATTCACAGTGGTGGGTAGTAACTAATTACATTTACTCAGTTACATTTACTTGAGGGAAAAAAATGCTTTCAAGAGGAGTTTTTCTACACTGTACTTTTTACTTTTACTCGAGTAATAATATTATGAAGTCTTGTTACTCTTACTTGAGGAAAAAATTCTTGCTACTCAGTGTGAATAACTTCATTTAATGAATAATAAACAATAATAAACAAAATAACCAAAAATGCACGAGACACAGACACAGACCTGCAGTTTATGTCAAAGTGAGACTTCTTGTTCGTACATAAGGTTTGTTGTTTTAATGTTATTCTATCTGCTGAGCCTGTTGTGCCATTTGGAGAAGTAAAGCATCACCATGTATTGTTACTGGAAGTACTTTACCCAATTTTACCAACATTTATATTACCTTCTCTAAATATTAGTTTCATAATGATTTTGAAAAGATTAGATTTATTATTTTGTAATTATGTTTTTTTATATGTAGTATTTTTATTTTGCTTTTCAGTATTAAACTTTAGATTTTTGTCTGTCTGATTGGCTCATTTTTAAACATTAAATCAGATGTTATTATCAGTTACTCAGTACTCAAGTAGCCATTTTCACTAAATACTTTTTTACTCTTACTTGAGTAATTTCTTGGACGGCTACTTTTTACTTTTACTTGAGTAAAACTATGTTGAGGTAGTGCTACTATTACTTGAGTACAATTTTTGGCTACTCTACCCACCTCTGGGTATTCAGGGCGCTCAACTTTAATAAAATAAATAAACTCATTATGGGGCAGAGACCTCACAAATTTAAATTTGCTACAACGCCAACGACATCTCTCTCCATCGAAATGTTTTCATTCATTTTTGGATCAATAAGAGTGTTTAAAAAAGACTCTATCAACAAACCAAAATCTACTTTCTGTGACTTTTTGGTTTTACCAAACCTTAAAGTTAAGTGATGCGATTCCTCGACATTTCTCTTGTAAATTTATGAGTTTTCTTCTCTGAGTATTACACCCCACTCCACCCCTGGGCTCTTAATATAGTACTGTATTAGAAGAAGCAGTTTATGATATGTTTGGTTATTCCCCACTGCCACTGTGACACAGCCAAAGTGCTGACCGCTTGTACAGCTTTCAAATTAAGAAAATAAAATGCTTTAAAAAGATTTTAAAAAGTCAATATCTTGTGCGACATGGCTTTGCTCGTTATTTCCTCTGCAAACACTGCTTTCCAGCTGGACTCCCAGATAGACTGGGTAGCCTGTAAACATGATGACATATTGTTTCCTTTCCTATTTGAAGACAAAGCACCCCGTTGTTATCTATATTGACAGAAAGCTTTCATCAATCACCCTCTCATCCGCTGGCATCTTAAGAAGACGATTCATATACCCATCATAAGTGGCTACATTTGTTGCTGTAGTTCCCTTTGATGAAAAATGTAAGGAGCTAAAGTCATGTACTCTTCAAACCTCGTCTTCTGTGTAGGTATGAAAAATCTTTGACATGAACTTCTCTGGAAAGCCCAAGCAAGCTCTTCATTGCAACAAATAGGACCTTTGAACACTTCTGGCTGCCAACATCATGTAGCTCTCCAGTCAGTAGTTAATTATTTGCTCCCAAATTTCTCCAAAGAGTCCTAAATGTGCCGTTCATCAGGGAGCAGAATCTGTGATTGTCCTATACATCTGCAGGGAAGTCACCTCCACGTTTGGGACCTTGTTATTCTGAGGACGTCCCGTTGGGCTGTAACCGGCCGAGCGTCCCATTGGACTGAAGCTAGTAGTGGTGCGGCCTACGTGGGTGAAACCAGAAGATCGCGTCAGGGCAGGACGCCGCAGGAACCGACCCGATGTCACCAGGTCCCCGTAGCCCTGTGCGTGCGAGAAGGCATAGCCCGAGCGGCGGGAGCTGGTGCGACGGATGCGGGCGCGTTGAGTTGGTGGAGCAGGTGTTGCTTTCGCCTGCCTCACTTTGAACATAACCTAACATTTGGGGAGGAAATGAGACAGTTATAATGCAGGAGTGGGTGTTTTAAGGAAACATTTAGTTAAATAAGAAGCCAGAAGGTTAATGAGTCCATCTTAAACATATTGTATATGTGAGAAAACCTTTAAAAAGACAAATCCTTTGAGAAACTCCTCAGAGAGCCGTGGGTTTGAATCTCAGGAGTAAACACATCTATCCAAATAAACTAGTTAAAGGATGAATCACGTCTTGTTTGTCTGTCTCGTATCTCAGGTACAGAATTCAAGTTGCACCCTCAAACTGCAATTCAACATACTGACTAGGGATGGGTATCGAAAACCGGTTCTTGTTGAGAACCGGTTCCCACTGTTTCAATTCCTTGGAATTGTTTGCCATTTTTGCAAACGATTCCCTTATCGATTCCAGTCGCCCCCGAATGACGTCACCACGATTTAGGTGATCATGATGAGACAGACAGAGTCTGGCTCAGATGCTGGCAGTTCTCGCTGCAGTCTACCGTTAGCGTCTCTTTTCAGGCCAGGATAGACGAATGTCACCGAGCAGTGACTCAGTTTGTGGTCAAAGGCTTGCACTCATTTGCCACAGCAGATGCCCCCGATTTTCAGTAAGTGAATGTGTTTAATTGTAGGCAGGGACATTACTGGATATTCTTGTGTAATTGCTACAGAATAATTTATGTTATACTTTGTTATTGCTACAGAAGAATATTTATTTTGTTATTTTACATTTACAAATTTTTTCCTGGGGACCCTGTGACACCCCATTGAAGAGCCGTAGGCTGTGGATCTCTTAAGATGTCACTGTTGGGTTTGTAAGGCCATGTTACTCCTAAATTTCTATCTTGTTCAAAGAGAAGATGTAAAACAAAGTTCTAAGCTACTCGACCTTACTGTTCTCCTTTTTTAAAAATAATTGATAAGAGAATCGATAAAGAATCGAAAATGGAATCGGAATCGTGAAAATCTTATCAATACCCATCCCTAATACTGACCCTTGAATGAATGATCACATTGATTCTCAATAAGCTCTGCTTTTTAACCTCTACTTGTTTTTGGCAAGTTAGCACTGTTAAAGTAGGATGACTTAGTTTTGAGTAGTTTTCTATGCCATGTTTCTAGATGACTTTGTTGTGAGTAAAACGTTACTGTAAAATGACCTTTTCCCTGTTTTTTGACACTTGTTTACTGGCAATAGTTTAAAAAAGAAAAAAGTTTAAAAACTGAAGAGGATTTCCTCAGAAACCGAAAGTCACACTGAGAGGAGGAAGCGTCTCACTGCCCTAAACTAGCTTCCTGGCAGATTCTTAAAGCGTCTAACACCTAAAAACGGAGGTGTGAGTTTCCCATGATAGTCAAGCACAGCAGGTAGAGCTGCATCTCCTCTGCTACCTTATCATTGATGGTGGGGCAGAGCTGAATCATCAGGAAACGGTTGGTAATGACGGGAAGGACACACAGGATGGAAGTGAGGAAGATCGTCAGCCAAACGTTGGGCTGGTTCAGGGAGTTTCGTGCTGTTCCTGAATAAACACACACATACGTAAGGTTTGGATTATTACAGGTGTGAAGAGGTTTTATTTACAGTACTATATATAAATTCTGTTTTATTTTATGGATATCAAATTAACCTGTTAACCCTCAGAGCAATGAAAACATGAAGAATATTGGATTATTCTCCTAACAACAGATGAGTCATTAGAAAGGATAATTAGTATTAGTGGAGTCCACAAATAAAAAAAGGTAATAGGTGTAATAGCTCCACTCTACTAAAGGTTAAAAATGTTCATGTTGAGGCAAAATAATCAAAACAAAAAGAAAATAACTTGGGATGACTATTATTTTAAATGTTTAGACACACGTGAACATTTAGTAAGACCAGGCTGTCCTCACATCGAAATACTCATTTTAAGAGATTGTATTGCAGGTGATGTGTTAGAGTGCAGTATCTCTGTTCTCAAATGTATCCTTTCCCCCCAAAAGGTTTTTTAATTATCTCTTATAAATATCTTGTTATTAAAATCATTGTAAATAGTCTTAAAATTATTTTTCCTAGACAACAAGCCAGGTCGCCACAGATCATTGTGACTCAAAAAGGCTCCATTGCCTTGTCATTTCAGACCTCCTTAAATACTGACACCTCAGTATATAGAGGTATCTACTGTAAAAGACCAGGGTGAAACAGTGAAAGCTCTTAAGCTGGGCAGACACTGTGTGATTTTTTTCAGTCGCGTTATTTAGCTCAAACTGCACGATTGACTCGCAGGGGTTAGAAGTTCGTAGGTCACGATGCAGGTCACACACTATACGGCCCAATGCTCTGATGCGACCTAAGTGCTCACACTGTGCGTCCATAACATGAAGGTTATAACACAAAATCTGTCTCTCGCTCTCTGTCTTTCACTCACACACACACAGACACACACCACCACCATCAACTCTGCTAAATTGCTAATGAAAAACATTAATCATGCAGCTGTGATTGAGCAGCAATGTCTATCCAACTATTTTCATGGTTGTTGCAGTCGTGATAATTTTGTGAGGCCACATCGAAAAGGCTCAGATGAGCTTTCCAAAGTTCTACAAGTTGTGCTTTCATCGCTTGTGTCCAGATCACACGCCGCACTGCCGTGCTGCTCCGTCTTTTCACTTTCATTTCTGTGTTTGCGTGTGCGCAGTGTGAGAGGCTGCGGTGACAGCCTCACGACGGTCGACAGGATTGACAGGTTTGATTTGCTTACGACAAAACGACTGATGATCGGGAGCTGGTCGTGAGGTGTTAATCACTTCTCGTTACCCCACGTATACTACACGATGCACGACACACTCGGGCCGATCACCAAAACGGTCGCACGACTAAAAAATCAGCTCAAAATGGGCCAGAAATGGCACAGTGCATGCCCAGCATTAGAGGATTGTGTGTTACTATAAACGGGGTCTCAGCTTTTCCCAGTCTAAAGACACTCAGACTGTCAAATAATGTTGCACATTGTGGTAGCCTAAAAAGAAAGACCTTTAAATCAAGAAGGAGATTTTATTTTAAAGTATTAAAACAGAACTGTTTCAATTTAAGAAAAATTTAATGTTGATTAGAATTTTGTATATAGAGAATAAGCGAAAAGAAAAGAAGTATTTATCCCAAATTTTACAACTTTTCAAGACTATGTAGATCAATTTAGTGAGAAAAACAAACATGTTGAAAGCCACTACCACGTGACCTCATAAAGCAGACGTTCTGCAAAGATACCAAACACAATTCAAACACTGTCAGTCTTATTTGAATTACTTGAGATTAACTGTAGCCTCATATAAAAGAGTGAGCAGCCGGCGCAGACATGCAGTCAAAAAAACACATCGTTACATTTATGGATTGGATACTCAAAGCTGTCAGAGATGGCAAGTTTGTCACTCACCTATGAAAGGGAAGGCTGATGGCAATATGGTGAACATGCCGTTACTGTACATGGTGAATGTGACAGCAAAGTACATCACCAGGCTTCCCAACACGAAGATCGTGTTAACCGCCGTCCAGTAGGACATCTCAAACCCCAGCTATGGGCAAAGACAGCAAGCAGGTTCTATAGTTCTATACGTTTTATAATAAACAAAGAAACATTTGAAAAATTATGCAGAAGAAAGGTTTCTGGATACCTGGATGCTGACGGCAAACAGCAGACATGTCTGAGTGAGGAGGGCGAAGGACTGGTAGTCGGCGATGTCCTTCCCATCATCCCTCACTGTGTCATACATAGCAGCATAGGGGATAAAAAAGAGCACCAAGGAGCTGTAGCAGCTGTGGAGGGCACATTTGAAGAAGGACTTCTTGCTGAAGTACAGGTTGAGTTGACCTGGAACATAGAGCTGAGGATGCTGGAAACTCCACACGTCATTCACATCCTAACCAGCAGGGGGAGACAAAGACATTAGATCCTTTTTTAGTTGGTTTGGGTTTGTTTTGGGGGGTTTTCTTTTTCTTTTTTTGGGCAGGAAGGAATTAATTTGAGCTCAGATTTATGGCCATGGTATTTTCATGCATACAGATGATCCCATTACCTGATCAAATAGACTCATTCCCAGTACAGGTAGTGCTGTGTACATCAGATTGTAGAGCGTTATAAACCACTCATCATACACAGTCTGAAAAGCAAAAACAGAAGTGGACCTTTAACCAACTTCTTCAATTTTGGACTCAATTGAAATGAAGTACATTAACAGACTTCACATTATCATTCAAAATGTGCAGCATCGTATTTGAAATTTGTAAACTGATGTTATTTTTTGTATCTCTTATTTTCCTTTCAAAATTATAGAATAGAATAGAATAGAATAGAATTCAACTTTATTGTCATTGCACATGCACAGGTACAGGGCAACGAAATGCAGTATTTGGTCTTTTTCTTATTTACACTGACCGTACCTAGGCTAACTGGTGTTATTCTGCTTCATGTCTCATTTTTTTAAATTACTGTATAAACACAAATCGTTAATAATATGTCTGCTGTTCAGAGTTTTAGTACAGTTTGGGGTTTTTTCTACCCTTTCCATTCTCATATACATACTAAAATTCAGATCTCACTATGACTTCTCTAACTGGTTTGTTCTGCCTTTTTAATGACACACAATGAAGTGAGTGAGTGTTTATATATAATTATTTACAGATTGAATGTCATATTATGTTTAGTCTAACTTGACTACAAGAAAAATGCAGGTTAAAGGCATTTCTGCAATGGCTCGATCATAATTTTGTAACTACTCGTCTCTCACCTGCGCAGAGAAACCACAGAAGAAGGCAAACCAGAAATGGACGAAGGTGAAGGTGAAGTTTTTGTAGAAGAAGTAGCGCAAGAACTTGCACATGCGCAGGTAGGACCAACGGCCGTGCACCAGCAGGAGGCGCTGCAGGAAACGGAACTGGGCAAAGGAGTAATCGCTGGACAGCACAGCCTGCATGCCCTCCTGGCCTGAGATGCCCACACCTATATGAGCCGCTGTGTGGGAGAAAAATTAGAATGAAGAAAGAGTATTTTAGTTTTTCTGAAACAAAATGAAGATATATAGATCTATATATAGATAGATATAGATCTAGATAGATATAGATATAGATCTAGATAGATATAGAGATAGAGATAGATAGATATAGAGATAGAGATAGATAGATATAGAGATAGAGATAGAGATAGATAGAGATAGATAGATATAGAGATAGAGATAGATAGATATAGAGATAGAGATAGATAGATATAGAGACAGATAGATATAGAGACAGATAGATATAGAGACAGATAGATATAGAGATAGATAGATAGATAGATAGATAGATAGATATGGGATAATTAGAGTTAATGGTTGAGTATAGGGGAAAAGTTTTCCAAACTTGGGAAAGCATTGGAGAACAAACAGGAGGTTCATATGAAGCAGTTTGAGTTTCTTCTGCTACCTTTGATCATGCTGACATCATTGGCTCCATCTCCAATTGCCAGCGTGACTGCCTTCTTGTACTTCTTGACCAGCTCGACCACCTGAGCCTTCTGCAGAGGAGTCACCCTGCAGCAGATCACTGCTTTGCACATGCATGCCGTCCTCAGGAACTCCAGCTCCAGGCTGTGCTCCAAAGCGTATGCCTGAGGGACAGAGGGGGTAAGAAAAAGGTGAGCTTAGAAGAAGACAGGCAATAAAAAAAAACGTGTGACTGTCAGAGCAGCCATGACTGTTAACAAAGACTGGAACATGAGCACAAGAAAAAGGTCGGGCTTTTTTTGCATCGCTGTTTGATGATTTTAAATCATAATGTCTTTCAAAATAAAGTTTCATGATTGGAAAAAAAAAAGTTCCTCACTGTAGCTACAGTACTTTTATTTTATTGGACTTCCAGAAGAGCTTGTTTCATCAAATAAACACATCTTTCATACTCAATAAAAAATTAGGCTCTAAGTAAGAAACTGAGGACAGCATTTGCATACGGCAGCAACTCGCCAGTTACAAAGTAAGCACATCTTTAAGTTTGAAAGTGACAGCATGCACATAAACTGAAATTTAATGTATGTATGTACCAAACTGTGTCCATTGATGACCAGGCCATACTCCCCATTCACCACCTCATCTGTGACCACTTTCACACCTTTATCCATTTCGGGTAAAAACTCTGAATTCTCAGCTGCATCTGGCTTCATGGAGGTTCGGGCATTTCTAGAAAAAAAATCAACAGTATATGAAAATCTGTCATAAAACCCGAGATAGTAAAACATGTTTAGTCTAAGATTTCCTCTGACCTCAGTTCCTGCTGGACATCCTCAAGTGAGTTGCCCGAGATGATGAAGACATCATTCATCTCTTCCCGTAGCAAGTTGCACGAGTAACCAATGTTCTCTGCGGTTTCTGCAACACAGACGATCAACATCACCGTGTGTGGACTGGAGTCTGTTCCCCATACGCATTAACTTTCATCTTATTCAAAGTTATGTACCTTGCTTGTCACCGGTCAAAACCCAGATTTTGATGTCAGCCTTAGACAGCTGCTCGATAGTCTGAGGTACTCCATCTTGCAACTTGTCCTCTATGGCTGTTGCTCCGAGCAGCTGAACACACACATAATCAGAATGCTGTTCATTTTACCACGCAGTTATGTTTTTACAGTATGAGCTGCCTTTATCGTCTTACCAGGAGATCCTTCTCTATCTCCTCATACAACTGGTCCAGTTTGTCCTCTCTATCCTCCAGTGCAGTGTTGGCCTCATGGTGGCGCTGTATCCACTGGTTAAAGTACTCCTCATCCAGATCCTTGTAAGCAAGAGCCAGAGTCCGCAGCCCATCCCCTGCAAATTCCTGCAGAAATTCCACATGCATATACTTATATGGATGAACGATGAATACTTGAAGGTACACACACACAAATACACAAACGCACACACAAGCTTAAGGCATTTGCACATATAAACAAAAGTCAAACTCTTGCTCAGTGCAAGATTAGAGGAGCAAAAATGGCAGCGAGAAATTAATTAGATCTTTCCCAAAACTTCCCTAAAAGAACAGACATAGAAGAAGGAGGAATAAAGAAAGGCCCTTTGAACATGGCAGCTTATTCTGACATACCTGCGCTACAGCTCCGCTGTTGTCCAAATACAAATATTTAAAACAAGGCAAATAAAGTCAAATGAAGCTGTGGTGGATATCTCCCCATTCATGACGACCAAGAGAACTGCAATGTATCTTATGTCAAACCCACACAAACAAACCTTCCATAAAGCATGAATTGAAATCTTTTATTTCCTTTCCTGTCAGTAAGACAAAGAACGTACCGACACGTTTATTTAAAAAAAAAAGTACTTTAAGTAAAGTATTATGTGAGAGGTTGTGCCTGTTACCTTTACAGCCTTATATTGCTCAAGAATTAATGTGTACTCAACTCCACTTAACAATCCACTAGTTTGAACTGCTGCTTTAAAATGAACTTTAAAACATCTATTAAGTTATGTCTCTTTATTCTGTCAGTACTGCCTCAAATTTGGGTCATTAGTGGAGATTGAACCTGATTATCTTTGCACTCGCTCAGACATTTTGGACAGTGCAAAGTATTATACAAATTAAGGTTTTTCATCATGATTATCAGAGGTACTTGTATATAAATTCAATAATTTGTTGCTCCAGGGAAGCAAGTTCATCCCAAATGCAAATGCATGTAGGGATGAACTATGTACAAATGCAGTTGACATAGACTAGCAGAGTCAAATATCTCTCTTTGAACACACACACACACACACACACTACTAACATTAAGATGCTCTGTCGTGACATCCATCAGCTTGCTGCAGGACTGGTGCAGCCTTTCGTAGATGATTGTGTCGGCACCTTTGCAGTAAAGAGACAGCTTGCCCTCTGGACTCCTCACTGCATACAAAAATGTACATACATGAAAACAAACAATGTTTCAAATTGCAGTGGAAAAAAGAGCAGTCTGTATGAGAGCTAAATAGGAAAGCATATACAGATATATAGATACATATATAGTATGTATATACCTATGACTGACATCCTCTTGCGGACATTGTTGAAATCCAGGATGGCCAGGAGTTCATAGTTGCACTGCTTTCCCATTTCCACGATGGAAATACTGTCTGGTGTTCGTGAGCGGAAGACAAATCCAAAGTTTCTGGCTGCGGTCACCAGAGCGCCCTCATCTGGCGACTGGGCCTGGTAGAAAAGCTCTCCTGGAGAACAAAACGTTTATATTTAGCAGGGCAAATATGATTATTTAAGTAAAGTTCATAATTCTAGCTGCAGCAAAAAATGCTTTCACGTTGATCATTTTCAAACCAGAGCTTTTCCATTACAATAAACTACCGAATATAAAAAAGGACTGGAAAACACACATACTGCCTTTTAACTGCTCACTGAAACATCTGTACCGTCCTCACCTTCTTTCTTCTCCTCGGCCATGACAGTGTGGCAGAGAGCCAGCAGCCTGAAGAAGGCGTGGACCTCCGTGTTCTCCAGCTTCACCGCCTCCACCAGAGAATGGTCGTGGAAGACGAACCGAGAGTCGGCTAACGGATTGAAGGAGAAGTCTACTGTGTCTGTATACTGCAGGAGTAAATGTACAACAAGACAAAAAGAAGTAAGAAAGAAAGAAGGATAAAACAGAGAGGGAAAGAAATGTAACTGGACCTGCTTAGGCTGATGAGGAGAGGTGAGAGAAGTGCACACTGAGTCTGTTAGAAGAACACTAAAATGTGTCAGAAACTTATTAATTTAATAGTATAATCCTGTGAAATCACTGTAAACCTGGTAAAGAGTTGTTTAACTGTCTAAATATAGAAATCACAGAAAGTAAAGGAGCAGCAGTCTAAAAGGAAAACTGTTCAACATACCAGGGACCAGGAATTCTGTCCAATGTTTCTCTTAACTACCTTCCTTAAACCCATCCAAAACTTCTATTTCAGGGAAACCAAACTTTACCACTGCATTGGAGACGCCATCTGTCAGTCAGTCATATGGACCAGTAACCTATTATTTATTTATTTAATTTTTAAATCTGCATATGTAAACTCACCTCATTAATTTCTAGTCTTTGGCCTGTGTAGTCATAAACATCTCCTGCAGAGCAGAATAACATTTTTAATCAAACTTTATTATACATGAAGAGAATGTATTGAACAAAGCATCAGCTGACGTAAAAACCATCCAACTTCTCGGAATAAGGCATCCAAAAATGCATTTTTAGAAAGTCTCAGTAGATTCTTGTTTCAGCTTCATGAAAAACACTTCATGACTAAAACTCTTACCATAGCATTTGCCGTTAATAGTGCACTTGTTGAAGATCATGATATTCTGGGTGAGTGTTCCAGTTTTGTCACTGAAGACGTATTTGATTTGGCCGAGCTCTTCGTTCAGAGTGGTGGTACGAGCCTCAGCAGGGGTGTCATTGTGGGCATAGTACATTTTCCTGTCCCAGTCGATGTAGAAGCTGTTCCCCAGACGAATGATCTCCACACTTCACGCAGATATTGAAAAGAGGCACGTGTAGTCATATTTTTTTTTTTGCATTCATTTTGTTAAATTCATTGTAAAAAGGTAACACAAGGTAATAAAAGCATCATTTCAAACTTATTACCTCACATAGAGAGAGATGGGCACCACGGTGTTGAGGATGATGACGTAGGACCAGAATGTGAGGAAGGATGAGAAAGCAGGATCGTCCTCCAGCCTTGGCAGGAAGACAGTAAACTGTGAGCCCTCGTTTTTTTCCCAGATGTAGTTTCCTATCGCCAGGACAGAGCACATGAAGGCTAGGAAACCAAAAATCTGCAGAAAGAGTAGAAAGAGGCTTTATTTTGTCATTTAGGAATATAAAAAAAACTGTGTTGGTGTATAAACTTCAGCTACAACTCAGAAACACAAATGTTGTAGATTCAAAACAGAGACAACCAAGATCTGCTTAAGCTTGAAATAAAAAGACGAGTGAGTTTGTGATGATGTCATCTGAGAGGAGTTTCAGATCTAAAAACAAATGGTGCAGAGTCCCAGGTACTCTATGACCCCTACTGGAGGTCGTCCTGAGGGTCGCTGACCCACTATTGATCATGCGAATCGTCACATGACCCATGGTGTGAAAAAAAGATGTGGGTCAGTACCATCACCAGGGGTTCAGGGGGAAACCACTACGACAACTTCCTCGACCTCATCATGTGACGTTGCACATGTACAAGCTTGTATATAGATTTATAACCATCTCTCATTGCCGGTAATGATAAACGACCAAAAACATGATCATTTTTTATTTTAATCAAAAGTTTGGAGTTACTTTGAAATGCCATTATTCATTTTTTAAAGAAAAGCTCATTTGTTTCCATTTAATACGTTTATAATTATCGAACTACCTCAGCACAGATGAAAACTGCTCTGTTGTTTAAAGAAGCATTTGACTAATTAAGCATGTGGAGCATCAGCGTTTGTGGGTAAGATTCGGCGTTGCCGATTTGCAACAGTTAAAAACTAACAACCTGATTACCCCACATACATATTTTATGAGTTTTGTTTTCTCAGAAGTACCACTGCAGGACTTGGTTATGCGTTAGCGACAAAAAGGTTAATTTGAGCCTGAGAGGGTTAAGAGGTTAAAGATATTTCATGCATATTTTGCACAAATAAAGGGAACATTTCATACAACCATGTACAGAAATAAATACATTTATGGATGCTTTATTGATTCCACACGGCAAATTGTAGTACTTAATGTAATTTAATTATGCGGTTAAAAAGGGGCAGACTGTAGTTTAAAGTTTGGTTTAAAGGTTTTACATTTTTAAGAATGAGTGGTACTGATTTATCCGACTAAATTAATGGCTTTGTCTTCCTTTGCTGTGATAGTAGCGACTCCATTGCACCTTGAAGCTTTAGCAAACTATGCATGTATCCCCTTTACGGTCTCGGATACATCACCAATTTTCTTGCTTTCTCCTGTTTGCGCTGCTCTACTGCATCAGATCTTTTGATTTTAAATAAATCATTAGTGTTGGTGAGGAGAATGTCCAATAAAAAATTGTGGCGCATTAGCAGAAGGGAAATAGTGTAATGAACTGATTTAACTGTAAACTTAGACTTCAGTACCTCAGCAGCAGTCAGCTCATTTCTTCACAAATCTCATTACAAAACAATAAATGATTGATGACCCTGAGATGTGATAAAACAAATGCACTCACAAAGATGACTAAGACATTCATTAGACGGTCTATACT